GGGGTGGGGGGAGTGGGGGTGATAGGGATGGAGTGATAGGGACGGGGCAGTGCAGCACCCTCACCTTGTCTCTGCAGCCTTGGGTTCCAGTCACTTCCACTGGTGCATTTGAAGTCTAGTGCATCAGTGTCTCACAACCCAGACAATGTTTTATGTAATTAAGACGAATAAAATGTTAGTAGGATTTTAAGTCGATCTTTTTGCATTCATATGATTTCCAGCACTCAACTGTGACACTGTAAATACCATATGTGACTCTTGTTTTGGGGAAAATACACACATGCTCACACACGCACACATGCACACACATGTGCCCACACGCACACACACACGGTGCTCACAGGTGACAGACCCTCTGGTACAGTGCACAGGATACGCAGTGGAGCAGGACTGTGCATGTTTGAATTCCTGCTCTGTAGTTGCCTTGCTGTGTGACTTTTGGCAGGTTCGTAACTCTCTGTCTCTGAGCTTCTGACTCCTCAGTGCCTGGCACATGGTAGGCATCGCACTGAGCATTGTCAGTGTTGTCATCAGGCTTGAGACTGTGAGGGCAGTGTGCATCTCCCCGACCTATAATAGGCTCAAAGGAGGGTCCCTGGAGTACATCATTCCCAGCAGCGTAGTGGGGCAATTCATCTTCATCACATCCTGTACTTGATCGACACTACTTTACTGTCCTGTCGTAAATTCGTATTATGTGGCCACTTTTAATGGAACAGTGTTTGAATGTGTATCTGAAATTCTCACAGGAGCTTCTGAGTAGGACATCCTTAGAAACACAGAAGTTGGATCTCATGGCCGAAATATCTAATCTGAAGTTACAGCTGACCTCTGTAGAGAAAGACAGACTGGACTGCGAAGACAGGTTCAGAGACACTGAGGTAAGTGACACTGGCTGGCTGGCTGTCCGTCCCTCTTCCCACTCTCTCATACCCACATACCTAAGATAAAGTTGAAATTCTTCAAGGTAAGAAGGAAAGATAGTTATGATGTACCCTTACCGTGCTTATTTTAGAAAATAAACTCTAGGGGCTGGGGTATAGCTCAGTGGGACAGCTCATGTCCAGGGCATGTTAGACCTGAAGTTCTACCCCAACTAGTATTCCCAAAACCAGAATGAGCCAGGCATGGTGGTGCATATCTGCAATCCCAGCACTTGAGAGGTGGAGGTAGAGGGTCAGGGGTTCAAAGCCAGCCTTTGTTATGCAGTGAGCTTTGAGACCAGTCTGGACTACATGAGGCCCTGTCTGAAAAGGTTAAAAACAAAAACAAACAAAACTGTAGTCATATTGAATTTGAATTTTCATCACTAAATGCTAATTGCAGTTTTATTTTTGGGATTTTGTTTGTTTGTTTGAAATATGCTGTAAAGGGCCTGGAGAGATGGCTCGGCAGTTATGAGCCTGGCTGCTTTTACAGAAGACCTGGGTTCAAATGTCAGCACCCACGTGGTGGCTAACAACCATCCATAACTCCAGTTCCAGGGGAGTCTACACCATAGGTACTTCACGGCACAGGTGCACCTACATACATGTAGGCATAGATACCACTCATACACATAAAATATATAAATCCTATCAAAATGCCTGGAAACAAATCCCGAGTCCATCACTCTCGAGTCCAGCCTTGGCAGACAAAAGAACAATGAGGAGGAGCCCAATAGAGGGATGCTTTTGGAAGCTCTCATCAAGAAATTCCAATGGCCTCTCATATGAACATTTGAAATTTGTCCTAACTTTTTTCTGGTTCCCTGTCTAGAACTTGTAATGCTAATTACTCTTGCCTTTAATTCTTCTTCACATCTCCTCTTTATCAGTTAAGAACTTTCTTTTCTCCCTACAAATAAGAGTTATGCAATTTGGGAGTCTTTTAGATAAACCCACTTAAAGGGGTACCCCAATTGCCTCACCCTGCATCCCTGTTCAGCATATGGAAGAAGCCAGAGTGGTCAGTGTCCCGATTCCCTATTGGCAATTTGGATAACCCCTTCAGAGGATGGTGTGATAAGAATAGGAGATAGGAATTGGCTAGGCAGTTAGGGTAAAAAGCCCTCAAAGAAAAGTAGCCAGTTTCTTGGCTAAAAGCCAAAATTTCCTTAGGCCTCTTAGCAACATACTCTGTTCCAAAGGTCAAAAACAGTCAAAAATATTTGGGAGCTCTTATCTAATCCCTAAAAGGATTTTAGGTTACCTCTTCAGAGAGGGGAATGTTAGAATGGCAAAAAGTCCTATTGAAAGAAACGAGGGGGGGAGGGGGGAGGAAGGAAGGAAGGAAGGAAGGAAGGAAGGAAGGAAGGAAGGAAGGA